GTCTGCAAGTGTGTCTCTCCTTCACAGCAGTTTCTGCAGCCTCTTCGCTCTCCATCTTGATGATGTGGGAGCAGTAGCTGACTTAGCTTAGTTTAACCTGTGGACAGAAGTGAGCAGGTGCATTAATTACTGCATGTTTCACTAGAGAACTGGTATAGGGTTGGATAAAAACATATATGGAGCCAGAGGGAACATGCTGGTCAGTGAATCAGACAGTCACTTTTATGCAACCATGGAAAAATAAACCTAAGAAAGATATTTTCAAACTGTGAGCAGAAAAAATTGCACCTTCGCACTCCCAGGCTGACATACCAGCTTCATGGCCAGCAAAGATGACTTGCAGGAGTTCGTGTAATACACTTCCATGGAGATCGTCGCCCCTCCCCCTTCACTCCAAAAATTCAACAAAGCTGTACTTAAGCCGGTAGGTTGTACGTTTCTTTCAGTAAGTACCGTGATAGCTACTGCTGTCATTTCTGGCTTTTCCAGCATCATTCATCAAAGTGTTCTGGTTTTCAGAATATTTAGTGGGCTGACCGCAGGTTATTTGTTTCTCCATCTCCATCCTCTACACAGCATGCAGGTGTTGTATTACAATAATTCTTTCCCAGATACTGAAATATCTTGGTTTAATTTTAATTATATTTTTTTGCCTTTTCTGAATCTTTCCTTAAAAAAAAATTAAAAAAAATTTATCCCTTTTGCATTTTATCTTGGTTTTTGTAAACATTTTTGGTGCATGCAGTCGAACATGTTGCAAGTAGATCTGCCTCTGTTGTATATCACACAGTCCGTCAAGAATGTTATTCAGCTGAAGCTCTGCAAAAAGGCACCAAAACACTTTAATATAAAAGGCATCTTTCAGCAGTGAAGCTATCTGATGGTCCAAGCAAAGAACATCAGGTTTAGAAGAGTGGAGAGAAGCATGAACAAGATTATGAAGTGGTAAGGGCAGAGCAAAGACTTGAGATGAGGCTTACAGATCAAATCCTAAGACTTGAAGATAGGAGAGATACTGCAGCATAAACAGGAGGAGAGATAAATGACAACTGTCTAATTAACAAAGGAAACAATGTAAAAGTAAGATAAAGGGTAATCATGCTCTCTGTATAAAAGTGAAACTTTTCAGTTGACATCTATGAGTTAGGAGTAGCAGTCAGGTTGGACTGAATGGACAAAGGGCAAGAGTGATGTGAATTCAAAGGCAAAACCACTTGTTTTGTTTTTAACACCACGCAGTTTGAGGATGCCTGTAATAATTATTTGCCTTAGTCCTGTATTTCCAGATATGCCAGTCATTTGGGGAAGAGAGCAGTTACTTGGCATGAAAGCTGTAACCTAGTGAAAGAGAAACTAAGGTGCAGTTTTCATAGTTGCAGGGTGTAGTGAATTGTGCAACTCGTGAAGGAGTTATACTCACAAGTTTTGGATGACTGTTATTAAAGAAAAGCCTAACTCATTCTGATAAATGAATTCTAAACAAGTAAAGATTTTTATCCTGACTTATGGGAGTGTGCTGTTTGTTTTGCTTGTCAGTCTTTTCCTCTACTAGTAATTTTTGAAGCTGATAGCCCACTTGAAATTACTTGGAAAGAAGTAGAACGTCAAAAATAACTTCCAGTAGTCTTTAAAATTGGTGGCTGGGTGTAGGAGAGACCAAATCAGTATGCTTGAGGAAAGCAGAACACTGACATTATATATTAATTTTGGCAACAGCCAGGTCGACAGTCCACACAACCTTCTCAGCTACTGGCACAGCATTACTCTCTCTTGCTCTGCATCCTGAGGAACATGGAAAGAGCAGAAACAGGGGTGTGGGAGGAGGGTTAGGGACAGGTGATGCAGTTCTTGCACAATGAAGCAAGCTCCATTTTTTTTGTGTTTCTGATGGTATGTTTTTTACAATCTAATTTTCTGACTGCTTTTACTTGATAATCCCTGAAGAGCATATGTTTTATTTCATCTATACCATTAAGCAAGCCCAAGGGATTAAAAGATTTCCGTTCCTTTTTTAACGTTTGATAGATTTGAGACCTGAAGATACGCTTTTATCTTTAATGAAACTGCATACTATTTGAACTATTATCAGTTCAAATTCTTCCAGAGTTTAATTAGCAATACATGAGCATTGCTTTGAAACATAGTCTTACTTTTGATAGCTATTTACAGATTTATTGCTTATATGCTAAATATTTGTTCCGTATGCATTTAATGCATACAGTCTGAGAGCAGTATTTTAACCTTAATTCTTTGTTGTCTCCTTATTTTATTAAAAATATACTAAGAGATCCACCAAAATACAATATTAAATCCATACTCTTTAATAAATCAGTTATCAGGTGGGATTTTCCAGTGGGATCAATACACATATCTCAAGAACCCTAAGTACCATCATTACAAAATTCCTGTTTACTTCCCTAAGTAGAGACTCAGGCTTTAAATTTGAGGATTCCCCGTTATCTATTCCTACAGAATTCTGACTAGAAAATGTTAACTCATGCCAAACTAGAAAGGATACAGAAATTTTCTGAAAGATCCGATTGTAGTTAAATCTCAGCTGTTAGCATAAATAACTACAAAAAACAATAATTCATTGTTTCACTGTCTAAAAATCTTGTAAGCAAATAGAAGAGAGCTTAAAAAGGAACAATCATAATCGTGTCTGTGTGTAAATATATACATGTAGTGTGTTCTTTGGGAGAGATAGCATTGAAAAAGTACTCTGAATTGTCTAGTTTGCTTGCTTGCCAAAGGCAAATTAGTAAGTATACTCAATATTACACTCTGAAAATATAGAACTCTAAAATATGTATCTATCCTTAATTTATAAAAAGAAGTAAAAATGAGTGTGGGCTTTAATGAAAAAATGTGCTATTTTTTTAACATTGTTTAAACTTCGAGTAATGATTTGAAGCAATTTTACCCTTTTGGAACGTAGACGCTCTCAAGGCAGAACCACTATGTGTTGCAAACTTTGTTTCTGGCATACAGTTTTAGTAGAAACTATGGAAGATATTTCAAAACTGCAAATGTATAGATTATTTTTAGGAAGGGGAGCCATTGCTTTGTTTGGAAGGGTGTACATTTCCAGTATACATAAGTCTGATTTTAATTCATATATCCTCAAAGCATGTGTAGGTGCATGCATTATATTATCATTCCATACCATTTTAATTGTTCAGGAGCATACTTTTATCTCACCTTTATTCTCACTTCATTTTAATAGACTCTTTGGTGTATGCATTTATGAATGATTTTAATCTCATAGATTCTCGGTTATGTAGGTACAATTTATGATTTCTCTTCAATATGAGGAGTTCACTTTGTATCTCTGACTGCCGATTTGATTCTGAATCTAAGACTTGTCTGTCCTTTATATTTTTCTTGTTATATTTGTTGTGGGATTACATGCTAAAGTGAGTTGGTTAACAGCAAAGATTTATTAAAGTTTGATTGTTATAAGTGTGAATAGGAGATTGTCTCATTGGGCAGATGATAACCAAGCTGATCAAACTCAGCTGTAAGAGGCTGGTAAATAGGCATTGGATCAACAGGCAGGGCAGTTTGACCATCTGATCAGGCAGACAAGCGGTAACTGTAAATGGGAAGCTGCCTAGTTAACATTTTTTTACAGCAAAAGTTTTCAGTCCACCTCACTGTCTGCTTACCTAGCCCAAAATTTTGTCAGTAATGAGTTTAGGGGGGACAGTGTTGAAAACCATGGTAAGGTCAGGGTAAATAATACTCACTGCTTTCCCCTCATCCACTCAGCTGGTCATCTCACTGTAGAAGGCTATCAGCTTGGTTAAATACAGTTTCCCCTTAACAAATCTATGCTGGCTACTACTTCTGGATCACCTTTCTGCCTTTCATGTGTTTGGAAATGATTTTCAAGAGGATTCATCCTATGCAAGCCTGTAAATAGTGGGCAGGTAATTTTATTCGTGTGTGTGTGTATATACATTTGAGCTGGCTAGAGCAATAAATAGGATGCAGTGATCTACTTTCGAATGATTAAGACATGGTAGTTATTCTTAGACATACAAATTTGCGTCAGAGTATCCTTTTGTCAGTCCAAAATACTCATTTACAAAGAGATACTGAATATTAATGTTGTAGGGGTATAAATTTATATAAAAATATAAATTGTAGTAATTATATTTAATATGTATTACTTTTTTCTTTGACAAATCTCCAACACATTTATATATAGAAATGATTTATATATAGAAATGATAATTACTTCTAATAGTGTTTTGTGAAATAATGTAATGTTTATTTTGTAGAGCGGTATGTTTCATTACATAATAGCTACACATTTCCATTTCAGGGAGCAAAACAGATTTGTTTTGTTTTGATAGAAGTGATGGTGAGAAAAAAAAAATTACTAATATAATTCTCATGTAAGTTAACATTCCTCATGTGGTTCAGGAGAAATGCTGTGCTTACAACTTGTTAAACAACAACGTGAAAGTGAATTGTTTGGTTTGAATTGGGAAATAAAATGTACCTTCTATCAGTTAGCATTTAATCAAGTTTATTCCTGATGACTCTATTGACAGAAAACTCCAGTGTAGCTCTTCGCTTGCTCATGCGTTTGAATTTCAAAGAATTCATTTGTTCATTTGTCTACCTGTGACAAACAGAATTACGGTATGTGCAGGGTAGTCACCCACTTTCTGTGACAGCAGATGGGCATGATGACAGTAATGGTGAAAAGCTGTCTCCTGGGGAGTTCACGCTTTTGGAGGAGTTTATCCATGCAACGGTTTCTTGTAGTGCTAATCTTTTGAGAAAGGAAAGTTGCTAGGTAATGAGTGTGGGTTTCTCATAGATCTCATATGTAATTAATAGAGTTTTAAACTCTAAAATTTTGAATTTTACTTTTTTCTTTAAAATTTTAATGTGTAAATCCCATCTCTGTTTAAGGTAATTGTTTTGAGTAAAAAAAAGATGGAGATGTATTTTGAAAGATTAAATTCACTGTTATTTCTCTTAAGTTTCAGGCACTGCATGCTGTATCACACACGCTGGTTTTGCTAGGAAGGAACAACATACTAAGAAATTCTTTAATCTCTCTTCTACTGTCAGAAGTACGTCAATTTGCTGAGCAGCTGTTGCAGGCTCATCAGGTACTGTCGTCTTTTCTTTTCGGAGAATGGCCGAAGAGTGGTGTTGGGAAGTGTTTTGTCTGCATCTCGTTGTTTCAGAAAATTAAATAAATGGATCAATCTATAGAATATGCAGGTTTAAGAACTCAGAAAGTGCTAGCACCTAACTTGAATAGCAGATTCAAAAAAAGAGATCTAAAATAAATGAAAATCTCCTTATGGACAAAAGTAAAATTATCAGACTGTGTAATAAATATACTCTGTAGATTTTAAGATCATGCTATATGATTTGAAAATACTTGAAATAATTAGTTAAAACAATTATTGCAACATGTAAATGGTTGGTTATGCAGGCAAAACAACTTAGGTATTCATCTGAACCCCCCAAAGTTTATGTCTATCCAGCTCAAACTGGAAAGAAAGTTGCATTATTTTATTTCAGAGTTAGATTTCATGTTTCACATTATAATACTAATTTTCATGATGCAAAAGTAATCCAGCACTTAAGGTAGCATTTAGTTTGTTGCAATGAGTAGGAGATGAAGAACAGAATAAAATGTTGATAATATTTTTGGTAAAATTTATTCTTAAGTTATTTTTTTCCAGTAGAACTTAAAAAAAAAAAAAAAAAGAGACAGTAAGTGGATGTGCCTTTAGCATTTGGAGAAGAGATGTATGAAATAAATTGAGTTTTTTTCATAGATTTTTCATGTATTTGTGTGTGGTGGTACATATTTAATGCAAACTGTTCAGTTTCACTTGGGATTATGACTTGAATGTACACTATCCTAGAAGGCTCAATGACAAAAAAGCATGCAGCCATTTATTTGGTGGCAAATAAAGTCATTGATATATGTAGAAAACATTCATCGTAGGTCTGTCTAGTGATGGTCCAGTTTAACAAATGTTTTAAGTGTTGCTCAAGCCATCTTAACTTTATTCTTTTTCTCTCGAGGCTGTGATATGGGAGTAAGTTCTGACTGGTGGAGAGGGAATATTTGATTTCCAACCCAAATTTCTAGTATGTTTGGATTATATTCTGAAAAGATTTCAGAAAGGCCAGTTTTGAAAGAATTAGACAATGAGCTGTGTCTTATTTTAAGTCACTAGTGGCATACCAGAGTTATTGATGGCAGCCAAAAGCAACAGACTTTAAACAAATGTAAGGGTAAGGAAGTGTGTAATTAAAAAAGAAAAAATTTTGGTTTTAGCTTCAAACAAATTGCTCTTTTTCAACATTATTAAATCTCACCTGTTTAACCGAATTAGTTATCCCCCCTTTCAGCAGAACTTTGCCACTGGCAACACAGAACTCTTCAGTGCACCACACTGATGAAAAGCTTACATTCAGCGTTACACTTTGAGTTAGTTACTACAGTACTACTCAACCTTGCCCTACTGTAATTATTTTAAGTATTGCTTTCGTAATATGGTACATAAAATTTATTCCTAAAAATTTCTAAGAGAAGTTTGACTCCTCTTTTAGCTTTGCTTTATGTTGGAAAGAATTATGCATTTGGTTTTAAGATCATAATGAGAGAGATTACAAAACTGTGTAACTTGCAGTTGAGAAAATGGATGTAAATGAATATCCTATGATCTTAACCGTAAAAGATTAACTACACAAGTGATTTCGATTTCTCTTAATGGCAAATTGTTTTATTACTGGCAGTGTAATTTGTATATTATGGGAAGACAGTAGAAGATTTGATTCATACGTAAGTATAGAGAAGCTGGTAGTCACTGAACAGTTCTTATACCGCAGCTGGTATGATAAATTGCTTAAATGCTAGACTCACTAGGGCGGCTTGATACCCCTAGTTGATGGTACAGCAGTTTTGCTTTGTTTTGCTTTTTTTTTCTTTTTCATTTGTTTGTTTTTTGTTTTTTACCTCTGGGAAATCTTATCACTCTGCTTGATTTTTTTCCCCCCTCCCTGCTTCTCCCTACTGCCAAGAAATGGAAACTTTCAGTTGTACTTCCTGGAGCAACTGAAGAAAGTTGTATCTAGCGCTGCCAAGAAGGTGCCTGTACTGTGAGAGACAATTTCTGGGGGAACAGAGACTTGTTTACTGAAAAGAAAGAAAGACAGACGTTTTTGACCTTGTAAATTTATTCTGTTTCTTCATACTTAGTATGTGTGGACTGAAATTCAGGACAGTAAAATGCATTTGTTACTTGACCTTTTCAGCTTCAGGACCAAATCCTTTTTCAGGTTAAGTCTTTGCTACCTGCAGCCCTCTATCTGTCTCATTTTAATTACCTTGCATTTGTGCTTGATGCTAATCTTAGCCATTATAAGTAGAAAGGTCTGGAAATGCTATTTAACAAAAACCTTTCTACTTATCACAATAGGACACTAAAATCTAGTATTTCTGACAGCCTGATTTACAGACCTGCTTCTGAATGTTTCTGACTTTGCGTACCATAACTTTTGGTAGGTGTCATTCTAAAAAGGATTAAAATATTTTTTATGTTAGAATCAAAACTAACAATATGTATCAGTTTGAAATATACCAAATGATGACAACTTTTAAAAAAAAATTTTTCATAAATACTTACATTAGAATTTGCAGAAGGATAATACTTCATATAATCAAACTTAATTAGCTGAGAAGTATCCTAATTGTGTTTTGTTACTTAAGCAAAACTGCTGTTAATTGCAAAGGCATTTCAAGTCTTTCACTTAAAACAATCAAATCAGGGACTCTGAATTGTAGTTATGATTAGAGGTGTCTAAATACCTGTTTTTCCTTTTGTTTTGTTATTTATTTCTTTTTGTTGTTGTTGGCGCATAGGAGAAATACAGACATAATCTAAGGCATGTATTCAGATTTGCTTGCAATTAAATTTAAACATCTGGTGAAAACCAGAAATTGACAAAATAGTTTATTCATCCAAGCTTATTTCTATGTTTTATTTTTGTATAATTGTACTTTTTTTTGAAGTTGAAGGTGTTTTCCAACACTGACTTCGATTGAAAACAAAATTCCTTTTAATTTTCCTAAGTGAATCATCTAGATATCTTAACACTTTTATTTTGACTTTCTTATTAAGGCTTGAGCTAAACTACAAATAGTTTCTAAAATATTTGCATTCCAGAATATGCAACTTTATAATCAGTCATTTTTTCAATAGGAAATATGCTTAGCTCAAGTTATGTAGGTTTGTGCATACGTCCTTTGATAAATACTGAAAATTTTTTACTTTAAAATTCAGACTGGTTTTGGTGAGTTTGTATCTGTGTCCTCTTGGAGCAAGCTGATCTGTCTATGGCACTCAGTTTTGAAAAGCTATCTATGTCCCTAGCTTTACAAATTAAAAAAATAGGTTCACTGGAGGAGAGTTGACTGTAGCAGAGTATATCTAATGAACTACACCAGAAAAATACAGAGATTACTCTGCATATTTTTATTTTGTTCCCTAGTTGGCTAAATCCATTAATCTTAGAATATGAGAAATTAATGTGAAATATCTGAATAATAGATTTTTTTTAACATTTTGGACCAATATTCCCACATGTAGAGAATAAAAGCAGCTAGGTAGCGTGTAAAACAGTATAGTTATCCTGATTTTTCACCGCATTAAGATGAATTTTACGGTAGTAAACTCTCAAGCAAGTTAGTAGTTTGCTTTAATTCATTTAATTACTTCATTGTGTCCTTAAAGTGAAGCTCATATTTCAGCACTTTGCTGACATCAGAATACTGACTTCTAGGCAAATCATCTTAATATAAACTCTGTTGGATCCCTTAATTTTTACTGATGTTGGATGTGTACTTTTCATTTTTATCTCTAATAGGAATCTTTCGTGTTTCATAAATACAGTTTATATGAATACAGTAACTGAACCTTATCTTCCTATAGAAGTCTTCTGATCTCCAGTTGGATTTCTAATGCAGAGCAGATACGATTTTAAGATACTAAGATTTCAGAATGATACTGTGGAAAATGGATTATTTTTCGAATGTTGAGCTCATCACTGTGATAGCAGATCTTACTTTATGATAATAGTTTCAAAGACAGAGGACTAGAAATGGAAAACACATATTGATTCAGTGCCAATTTCTAACCCCCCACGTGTTAATTCCAAGAGCTATGAAAAAGAAAGATAAAAGCCAGAAAACAGATTTGAAAATAGAAAAAGGAAGACATACTGGGAGGTTTTTGGAAAGCCCTGTTATTTAGTAATTGCTGATACATAGCTTGTCTAGCATTATGTTTTTATTTCACATTGCTTTCTGTATACTATTTTTCCATTTTAAAAACTTTATTTCTATCACAAACACTGTACACTGAATAATTGGGGTTTTTTTAAAAATGAAGACACGAACTTACATGTAATTCTTAATGTTATATGTAAGCATTAAGTTCGAATCCAAATGTGGGTGCTAACTTTTCTCCTGAAATGAATGATGTGATTAGACATTGACACAGAATACAGGGTGGGATTCATCCTATTTAGTTTAGATGTAAGTAGTAGAAACTGCTGTCTACTTCTTATAAAGTTAACCAGGCAGTTAAGGTTAACTAAAAAATTTTGCTGATGTGGAGATATTTCCAAGGCTTTGTTGAATGTTACTTAAGTTCTTGAGAATCGGGCTCTAATGAGCCAAAGAAGGTTGACATACGGTGTCAACATTTGTCTCACTTAACTTCAGTTTTCTGTGATGTTTCAATATGATTGGCTTACTTTAGTTATCCTTTATAGCCAAGGGAGGGAAAGAGGCATTTCTTGCCCAGCCTATTTTGAATGTACGTGATTGTGATAATTGGCCCTAGAGTTGTCTGCCTCTTCCTTCCGGCTATGAGGAAGGACAGTTAAGTTGATCATCTGAAATGTAGATATTTATGTTGTAGACTTCTAAAGTTAAGGGAGGAAAATCCCATCATATCTCTCTGAAGATCTCTCTTGGATGATCTGGGCTAGAGCTGTTATGCCAGGAAAGGCCTGGTCCTGCAGAACACTTGTAACAGGTAGTCCTGCAAGTTGTACTTCTGTGTGAACACTGACGAACTTG